AATCTTCTTCTCAAGAACCACTGGGCCAGAAAAGCTGAAACTTATATGGAAGCATCCTGGGGTAGTGTAGATTCTAAATTGTTCAAATCATGACCCCCGGGGGTAGGGCGGGGCCACAATAGGGAATCCAAGTTTAACATTGAAATATATAAGAAAAATCTTAAAAAATCTTCTTCTCAAGAACCACTGGGCCAGAAAAACTGATACTTAAATGGAAGCATCCTGGGGTAGTGTAGATTATAAATTGTTCAAATCATGACCCCCGGGGGTAGGGCGGGGCCACAATAGGGAATCCAAGTTTTACATTGAAATATATATGAATAATCTTTAAAAATCTTATTCTCAAGAACCACTGGGCCAGAAAAGCTGAAGCTTATACGGAAGCATCCTGATATAGTGTAGATTCTAAATTGTTCAAATCATGACTCCTGGGGGTAGGGTGGGCCAAAGTAGGGATTCAAATTTTACATTGAAATATATAGGAAAAATATTTAAAAGCCTTTTTTTAAGAACCACTTGAACAGAAAAGCTGAAACTTAAACGGAAGCATCCTTGCATAGTGTAGATTCTAAATTGTTCAAATCGTGACCCCCGGGGGTAGGGTGTGACAGAATACATATTACAAGGGAGAAAATCTTTTGAAGAACAGCAGGGCCAAATATACTCCGGTGAGCGTTGTGGCCCATGGGCCTCTTGTTGCTCTATGCATCAGCGTTGTCAGGCGCAAGAAAATTAACTCGGGGACTGGTATTTTGACCTCCTTCACAGAAAAGCTGCTGATCTGTCCTCAATGCAATTTTAACATAAAAATATCATTGATAGTGTTTCCTTTCGATGTAGGCTCGTGTATTATAGGATCTCTTGACTAGAGAGAAAACCCGTACAAGTCTGTTTGAAGCTCTTCTCTTCTCTTAATAGTAGACGATAGCTTTCTTTCTGATTCCACTTTGGTGACCTAATGCTGTTCGTTTTAGTCTGTCGTCGTTCCGTCGGTCGTAAACTTTTGAACATTTTCAGCTTCTTCTCTGGAACCACCGAACCAATTTCAACCAATTTTGGCATATAGCGTCTATGAGTAAAGGGAAACAAAAGTTGTGAAATTTATGGCCCCTGCCCCCATGGGGCCTGAGGGGTGGGGCCATCAAAACCATCAAAATTAATGCAATCTTTAAAAATCTTCTTTACTCATGAACATCAAGAAGTCAAACTATTGGCATAAATGTAATAAACATTGAGCCCTCTACCAAAATTGTGAGATTCATGGCTCCAGGGTCAGGGTTCTGGTGCTAGGGTGGGGCTATATAGATTATATAGTGAAAATGCATTATTTCTTTGAAAATCTTTTTCTCCACTCCTGGGTATTATTTAAACAAAAGAAGTGCATGGTTATGATAGGCAAGAATGTCTCTTCCATAGTTGTGAAATTCATGGCCCCTAGGTATTATAAACTAACTAATTACATAATTATGTTGAATAAGGATGCTTTTTCCAAAATTGTGAATTTCATGGCCCCAGGGTCAGGGGTTCTGTTTTTTTGGGGGGCTCTATTGATTATATTGTGAAAATATATTATTTTTTATCTTCTTCTCTGCTCCGGGGTATGAAACAAACTAACTAAGTACATTGTTATGATGAGCAAGAGTGCCTTCAAAATTTTGAATTTCATGGCCCAAGGGTCAGGGGTTCTGGTGTTAGGGCAGGCCTATATTGATTATATAGTGAAAATATATTAATTCTTCGAAAATCTTCTTCTCTGCTCCTGGGTACTATATAAACTTACCAGTACATAGTTATGATGATCATGCTTTAAAAATTGTGAGATTCATGGCCCCAGGGTAAGGGTTTCTGGTGTTAGGACAGGCATATATTGATTATATATACTGAAAATGCATTAAATCTTTGAAATTCTTCTCTGCCCCTGGGTATTATTTAAACAAAGGAAGTGCATGGTTATGAAAGCAAGAATGTCTCTTCCACAATTGTGAAATTCTTGGCCCCAGGGTCAGGGGTTCTGGTGAATGGGGAGGGGGTCTATTGATTTTATAATGAAAATGCATAATTACTTTCAAATTATTTTTTCCACTCCTGGTTATAAAGCAAAGAAACAAGTGTATAGTTATGATAAGCAAGGGTGCTTTTGCAAAATTTTTAAACTTGTGGTCCCAGGGGTTCTGGTGTTTCTCCGAGGGGGGGGGGGTATTGATGACATAGTGAAAATATGTGAATTCTTTGATAATCTTCAACTAATTGCATAGTTATGTTGATGAGGCTACCTCTTCCAAATTTGTGAATTTCATGATCCTGGGTCATGGGTTCTGCTGTTAGGGTAAGGCTGTGTTAAATCTGTAGTGAAAATGCATTATTTCTCGGAAAATCTTCTCTGCTCCTGGACATATTGGAGGCAAACAGAGTTAAAAGTTTTAATAAGCAAGGGTATTTTTACCAGAATTTTGAACATCTGGATCATTTAGTCAGGTGTTCTGACCATGACCATAGTTCTATTAATTTGTATTCTACTGAGCAAAGTTATTCCCCTTTGACATTCACCTTTGATAATTAATCACTGTAAATAATGTATTTGAAAGGTTAATAGAATAAGAGAATATTATGCAAGAACATTTATTGTACAATACAAAAAGTACTTTCATAGTTTTAATGATCAGGTAGACTTGGAAATAATAGATGAATAAAATTGAGATAAAAATAACTTAACTTTTTAAATGTTCTTCAAAGGCAAAGAGAGGCCAATGTGAGAGGTAACTACGATATATATGGGGCTAAAAATGGTGAAAGTGATAAATGGGAGACCAGTTATTTTGTTGATCCTAATCATACTATTTTTCTTGCTTTTGGGCAACAAAGCTTCATTTATCAGTTTATGGATCCAATTGTTATACTCAGGTGACTGTTAAGGTTCTTGGGCCTTTTGTTATTGTTCTTCTTATGCACCAATATTTCGACACCCAACACCGAAGTTTACCATACTTTCTTCTGTAATAATGTTTATTTTTTTAAGAGACCACTAGCACATTTAACGCACTTTTCTGTTGGGCTTCTCCCTAACAAAAAATACTATAATTCACTAAAATCTAGTTTGCTATAGTTAACTATATAGTGGAGATTACCATATACAGTATAGTATCGAAGTTTTTACTGTAGTAAATCAAAGTTTTTACCTTAGTAAATCAAAGTAATTTTACTATGCATGTCAGATTGTTATATTTTATGTTTCCCAGTTCATTCATGCATGTTTATTATATTAAATGGAACAATTACTATATTGGTATATCTACATATTACTTTGTATTTCCAAAATTTAATCACTTATGTTGAATATAAGAGATTTGAAAAATCTCAAAAAAAAAGTTCTAGGGTAAAATTTCATAGTATTGGCAATAGTATGAAGACTTTACTATAGTAAACTTTAATTAACTATTAATAGTAAACTATAGTAAACTATGGTTACTAGTAACTATAGTAAATGTTTGTTAGAGCTGTTAGGAAATAAGGCACCTATCTGATATAGAAATACACATGTATTCTTTGATTCATATTTCGTTTGCTAAAACTCTATAAACCGTAAAGATGATATTTCTTTTGTCTTACCAACGTCCATAGTAAATCTGGAATTTATAGATATCATGTTGCTCACAGCTTCGACATTTATTGGGTCCCTACAAATTTTGATCGACAAGTTCATGTAATACGTACTCCTTTTCATTTTTTAAAATCTGAACACTGTACAGTGTAAAATACTCGTCTTTCCAGACATCAAAATCACATCTTTCTTATTGGTTCTACAACGATTTTTGAAGTGAAGCGCAGCTTCTTACAAACGCCTTATTTTCAGCTTCTTGCTTCCTCTGAAATATTGATTGATTGTATGTTGTTTTACGTCCCATTCGAGAATTTTTCACTCATATAGAGACGTCACCATATACCGGTGAAGGGCTTCAAATTTTGACCTTTACTCGGCACTCAGGGCCATTGAGCAGTGAGGGATCTATATCGTGTCAACGCCTGCCGTGACACGGGGTCTCGGTTTTTAAGGTCTCATTCGAAGGACCCGCAACTTTCACTTAAAGTGCCGAGCGCATGGCGAAGGAACAGTTGCTTCCCATTTTTTTATCGACTTAGGTCAGTCGCGGCCGAGATTCGAGCTCACGACCTCCCGATCACGAAGCGAGCGCTCTACCGACTGAGCTACCGTGAACGGTCCCTCTGAAATATAATTTCTTTGCGAAGACAGTAGGAAAAAGCATGCAGTTTTTTGTGATTATGAGTTCTTATTGTACTTCCGGCTGTGAAAAAAATATTATTAAGTGCTTCTACTATTTTAAAGGGCTGTGTATTGAGCAAAATATTTCGATACGATACGATATTTTATAAAGCGATATATTGGATTCTTTATTAAGTCTATCAAAAACTCTTGTAAATCATTTAATGCATAAATTTGATTAAAAAAAACTGTTTATTAGCAAATTGGAAGTTCATATCTCACTTTCTTTACGAAGTATACTCTTTAATTTCATACTTTTAATGACTGTAAAATAACATATTAAAATATAGTTGTCTATGTATTTTGTAATAGTTATTTAAGACGTGCTACCTCCTTAATGTTTATTTCATTATTGACCAGTTTTAATTCAAAACAGTTTAAAATAATCCTTGGTAACTGAAATTCCCAATTTTTTTCAGAATTTTAAGAAAAACTCTCCGCCCGATACGTATTGGAAGTTATTTTTCGATACGATACATTCCTGAATATCGATACGTATTAATTAATCGATATATTGACACAACCTTTTATATTATGATGAACTGTATGTGCATTACTTACTGAACGACACATATTTAAATTGAGCAATCTCTTTTAAAACAGTTTTCATACAGTTTTAATTTAAGCTGTACACAGTCTTTTGTGGCTTGTACATTCTTTTCCAATATTTATTCGTAATTTGGTACCAGGGAGAGTTGAAGAGAAATGTCTGGCTCTAAGAGATACTGGAAGTGAAATCTCCACTAGTTTTGGAATTTTTTTTAACCAAAAAAAATCTGAACATATCTTTTTCTTTCCATATGAAGCACCGTGTTTGTTGATGCTCGACCCCACTGCTGGAGTTCTTGGCGAGCAACTGAATGCTCATATAATGAGATGTTCCAAAATCATGGAACAACAAGGAAAATTTTGCATTGAGGTGAGTTTATTTAAAGGTCACTGTAAAATCTCGATGGAATAATTAATTTTCTTATCATGATGGAGCAACTTTTATCTCCACAGCGGTTCCTTGTATTTGTAGAAAGACCTAGTTGTTAGGGTGAGAACGGTTATTTGCTAGTAGACCTTCTAAAATGAAATTAAATTTTATGACTAGCATAATGTAAGACTACTAAAATTTCTTGCAAGATATCCTTCAATGGGTCAGTAGAGCGATGGTGCAGAAAGGTTACATCAACAAAGTGTGAGTCAGTTGGTGCCAAACTTTTGATTACGAATGGTGATGAACCTGAAAATCTGAGGACCTTGGAGAATATCCTCTGTTGTGTTGTATGTCTTCCTATATGGGCAATACAAACCGCAGTCATCAAGGTATTAATTTATATCTATGTTTATAAGGATAATTGTTTATAAATCTTTCCATTCAGTGGCATGTATTTTTCCTCTTGGACGCAGTTTAAAGTTTTCTTAGTTTTCTTCGCCGAGTAATCTGCCTGGTAGACTATTCAGGCAGAAATATAAATGTTGTTTTATACTAACTCCTCTTAATTTTGTCAGACATGGTACAAAGGTAAAATGACATGTATAAAAGACGATAGTGACCTGTTTCTAAATTTCCATGAAGCAGAATTTATTCAGAGACTGTTATATATGAAGAAAACCTCCTGTGGCCTTCAACTCAACATTTAGATACCGTATATCGACAACGTTTTATCAATTAACAATACATGAAGTTATTTTCACTCATACGTGTCGACTCGATATATCCCAGTGAACTCAAAATTAAAGACACTACAAAGTCTACCACATCTGTTTCATATTTGAATGTTAACTGACTATAGACTATAATGGCCAGCTAATACTACATGTAGTTACTAAACTGTATGGCGAACGGGATTAATTCAGCTTTCCATCGTCAGCTTCCCTCATTTATCTAGTATTTTTCTAACATCACCTGTATATATGACAAATAAATTAATGTCACAAAGATTTCAACAACCCCATTTAAAGTCAGCTTTTCGCAAATTCTAAGGTCGTTATAATGACGTGTTTGTAAATTATACAACCTGTGTTCGGTCGCATTTTGTCTGATATATTTTGATACCATTTTAGGTCATTCCTTTTATACGAATGATAAGGTCGAATTTTGTCCCTTATTTGATATAAAAAAATGAAAACTGTTAAAATTGTGATAACTTGCAATAAAGAACTTTAAATAGTGTTTGTTTTAAAACCATCATTAATTTTGATTCAAAGCAAACATAAAAGTCAAAAGACGGTGATAAGGTGGATTATTTTACCCAAGTTCCTCAATTCTGATGGCATTTCGTAAAAGATGAGATCTATACTTTCACTCCGGGAAACATAGAGCACAAGCTTGCCCATCTGAGATTTTAATACACAAGGTGTATCTGACACTGGTGAAATATCTTAATTTGAAAGGCAGACAAGATTGTGTTTTGTGTTTTCTGAATCAAAATGTGTTTTAAACTTGATAAAAATTTGAATAAAAAATGAGAAAATTTGAATATGATCAATTTTGTGATCTTTCGGGTCGTGTGGGGGTTTTTTATTATGTGTTCGATTCGCTAGTATTCTTAAAGTTGTTGAGAATAATAGAATATTTTTATTTATTTTAGTTGCATCGAGAAGTTGCTTATCAAGATTTATCTGCGACATTCGATGCTGAGGAAATCCTGTTGCATGGTTCTGTTGGGGGTATTCAAAATCAGAGAAAGCAATTATTTAGAGGTCAGTTTAACCTTAATATTAATTTTACAAGAACCACTATCATTCATTTTAACTTTGGAATACTCGTTTCGTCGTTTATAAACTACATGCACATTGCTATCCTATGGCAAACCGATTTACTGTTTATTGTGGGAAAAGGTATGTCAATTTCAAGGGATATCTTTTGATTGAAAAAAAATGTCTCTTCATCTTGTATAGATAACGCTTTCAAAGAAAAGATATTTCTTCATAAATAAATACTTTTAATTATGAAATTAAACAGAATAATACAGATTTGTTTTTCTGAAAAAAGAGAAGAGGGATTTATTCAACTGCATTATGACTACTTTCTATAATTTCCTTAATTGACGAATAAAAACTATCAAAAATAATGTTTGAAGTTGCATGGGACACATCAGTAATATTGATCAAATTTAGTCATTTTTAAATTATCTGATTGATTTTCTTCAATGAATAAACTCTTTTTAAATGTATTTTTTGGTTAAAATTTCCAGAGCTTCCAACCTCTACGGTTTTCTACACGAAATCCCAAGAAACTCCTGCAGAGGATCAGGGTCACAAATACATTTGCATCAAGAAATACGACAAAAATTTTGCAAACGTTTTAGATGATAATATAAGCCAAGAAAATCAGTACGAAACTACAAGCATTTATAATCTGTTTGAAGATAAACATAAACGTACTTCATTCAAGCTTAAGGAAGATCGGAAATCCCCAGAATTGATAGTCAGTAAAAACGTGGACATTAAGATCGCTCCTCAGTCAAAAGACTTGCCAAGAGATTCCCGTAACAATACTGCGAACACAAACGAAGCACATTCAGCGAGACACTGTGAAAATGCAGTCTCCCAAATTTATATTGACCACAAACGAGATTTACACGGCATCGAAACATATGACGAAAAAGATGACGATGATGAAAATGATTTGTTCACTACTAAAATTCATGAACCTGTTAAACAAAATCGATTGCTTAAATACGAGAGGAAAGAATCAAACGATGAAAAGGAAATCAGAAAAACACCAGCTGAAAATGAAATCTTAGGTGTGAAAGATGACTTTACAAGAAGTTTTTCTACCTATCAAGAACAGTCCCATGGTGATGATGCATCACCTAGATCAGATAGTCATCGAAATACAGTTCAGAACTCCATCAGTGAAAGTGGAAAGGACAGGGTAGAAGATATCGGCCGACGAAATGATCTCAAAAAGATAACTACGATTGAGGGTGTTGGACAATTTGAAAAGTCTGGTGATAAACTTCAAGAAAAAACAAGTGGACTGGATGATGTTTCTTCTAACAACACCAATGAATGGGATATGGACATTTCTGATTTAGAATCTGAAAATTCATTTGAAACAGAAACTGAAGTACAATCAAGTATTGAAGTGAAACAACCACACCGCCATAACATTCAGAGGAGGAAGGATCCAAGATACGACTCCAGAAGAAAATACCTAGGTGTGCATACCCCTAAAAGAAAGCTCAGAACAAGTCTTTCAAACGCCGACAGTATAGGATAAATATATGCGTAAATAAATTCATTTAAAATATTGTGTTTTTATTTATAAACTATAACAAGCATGTAAAAACAAGACAGAGATATAAAAAGGTTGGAAGATGTATAATAGTTAGCAGGAATGCGCAACCGGAACTTTTAAAAAACTTGCAACACTCTCTTTTTTTGGATAAAATATTTGATACATTAACGTGAAAAGGGGTTGTCTATACTGCAATAAACAGTGAGGAATCCAACTGACCTTTAAATGATTTGCATTCTAAAATAACAGAAACACATTATTCTCGGGAAAAGGATAAAGAATATGTTTCAAAGAAATCCATTCAGTAAATCTTAACTTCCGGTATTTAAGACCTATTGGTAAACTGTTACTATACATATGATAGTTGATTACATTAAGTTGACAACTAAATTAAGGTTGAATTAAAAATTTTCGTATTGGTTGCCAACTGCACATAAAATATCGGAATGTTCAACACTGGTCTAATACATGAAATATCGGAGTGTTTAACATTGGTCATCTGAAAAGGAAATGGTTTTCAACAGTGGTCAACCCTAGCTGCAGAACTGTAGCTCTCTGCTTGAGAAAATTCGGACAGACAAAGCAGAGAGCTACAGATCCAAGCGTTGTCAAAACCTTCGATTTACGCCGCCGCTTTTTTGTCGCTCGCTTCGGGTATTATTTCTTGTAATTTATATCTTCCCCTGCTTTAAGAATAGTATCCGATAATTAGCCATATATTTTACTCCTATTTTTGATACCTTATTTACCTTTCAACGGTCTCAAACAGTCCTTAATCATTAATGGTTTTGGAATGTCGGTTTAAAAAAATCCCATTCCGACGTCCATGTTGGCGGGTCGTGCGGAAAAAAAAAGTCATTCAAAAAACTTATACTTGCTGAGAAATGTAAATGAAAAATTCAGGAGGTTCAAATATCATGTATATTATCTACAAAGAAAACAATATATATGTAAAAAAGATACGAGATAAAATAAAACTCGGGCGTGTCATTTCAGGATGACACCAACGTCGACGTCGACATGTATTTTTTTTATTGATATTCCAAAACCACATACGGCCGTCTGGAACCGTTGAAAGGTAAATAAAGTATCAGGAATAGGAGTAAAATATATGGCTAATTATCGGATACTATCTTTAAAGTGGGGGAAAGCATTAAATACAAGAAATAATACCTGAAGCGAGCGACAAAAAAGCGGCGGCTTAAATCGAAGGTTTTGACAACGCTTGGATCTGTAGCTCTCTGCTTTGTCTGTCCAAATTTTCTCAAGCAGAGAGCTACAGTTCTGCAGCTACCCATGATCCCTATATGCATGGCAAAAACTCAGCTAAGTGATCAATTGATCACCAACAATCAACTGTTTCAGATTTAAAGCGACAAAAAGATTTATAGATTAATAGATACTTTCCTAAATACTGCTTTAAATAAAATGACCATTTGACCATGAGTTAACTGCTCTTCATTGATTTATGTGAAGTTGCAAGAATTGATCTTCAGACAAGATTTGATCATTAATATTCATAAATTCCAAAGTGAGACCAGGAGGACCTATTTTAGATCAAAACACAGCTTACCCCCTAAAATGATCAAGTTACAAAGCTTCCATGGTCCATGGTGTCACAGTGTGCAAGATATGATTCAGGCACAAAAAAAGCTGATAGATAGACACATGAGAATGCCTATACCGTAATTCAACCGTCAAAAGATGAGTGTATCAAAAATCGTGTTGGTCGAAATGTAAACTGGCAGTGCTGTGATCAAGCTCACAAAAAAATTAAATCCCACCCTCATCCTACTGCAGTTTGATTTTAAAGTGCATGTCGTATATATTTTCATAAAAGTACCTTGAACTCGCCAAATTGACCATGGTTTAAGAAAATTATACCCTTCAGTCATAAAGAACTTTTCTGTGTATTAATAATGATATTGTTCCATTTGAAAGTTAGGGACATTAATTTTATACTGAAAGTATTTATGCCGGTGATATTCGGCTTGCCAAATTGACCTTCGGTCAAGGATTTGACGTAATACTGTCACAAATAATGATCATTTAAAGTATCAACTTTCAATATAAACCCTCAGAAAGTCAGAAACCGGACTTAAATATCATAGTCTTATACAAGTGATCTTGAATTTGCTAGAATGACCTTGGGTCAAGATCATGACATAAATATCATTCGTGTTACAAATGCGCTTTCAATTATTTCTGTTGAAAATTTTTGGATTGAACATGAATTTTTGTCCCCCTCTTTTGCAAAAGCGAGGGGACATTAAACCTCATTCGAATGTCAGTCTGTCTGTCACAAAATCATAAACCTTGATCATAAATGTTGAAAGAGAGGAGATAGGGCTTTCATATTTCACAGGTACATTACCTGTGACAAGACCTTTCCAAATATGCTATCTTTGTGCTAAAGTGTGAGTTCCAATGTTTCTCCATCTGAAAGCTACATGTATGGCCAGGCCACAAATATTGATTTTTTTACCTGTGACCTAAAACTTGGTGAATAACACTTTTGTTAAGATCATGACATATCCTAAGGTCAGAAATAGTCCTCTTGCTGCATGTCCTTTTTCAGTTGAAAAACTTTGTGGTTGTAATAGAAAATTATAAATAGCAAAAACAGATTTAAGTGCTGTATTAAATATAAATGATTTGGTAAATAAACTACATTGTACTCGAAAAAAAGAAGATGAAAATACTTATTCATATCTGAAAATGTTTAAACAACTTCAAACTTGTTGTTTTAGTAACTTTAAAATTTGCAAAATCATTCTCATGTTTTCATTCAAAATTGTAAGGTTTCTTTTGTATCAGTGAGGGGTTATAAGTGTCTGTAAGAGAGGGGGTAAGTGTCACTGTGTTTGCTTATCTTGGCTAATTAATTGACTGAGACATCCCTGACCAGATAATGAGGTGTAAACTGTGAACTACCTAGTTTTAACTTTTATTATTCATAGTTCTATTGAAGACAAACAATATTATTAAAACAATTAATAGCTCTCAAAACACTTATTTCAATACAGAATGAAATTGTGCTATTAGTTTAATTACTTAAAGACACATTTGATTTACATCTTTATTACTAAGAGTTCTAATTTACTTATTTTTTTTAAGAAGACATATGAATGTTTAATGTGTACTGACAACATACAGGCAGCCCAAATACTTCTAATGAAGTTATTCACAATAAAATTATTTTATAATAAATAATTTTTGCAACAAGTCAAATCTGAATATGGAGGTTCAGATCCAAGGTTGAAAAGAATAATTAATTCCTTGACATATTTTATTGTAGGAATCATATCTCCACTTTTCATGGTACAGAATCCCTCATTTGGGCATTTAGTGAGAATGTTAGCCAGAATAAAACCTTAAAAGAATCTGCTCTGAAACTGCAGGAACACATTCAAACTTCAGTGGATATCATCAACATTACCATTTAAATATTGCTTTGATACTTGAAGGGATAAAAACTTGGGAGTAATCGATTATTAATCGATTACATTTTCCAAAGTAATCGATTACAATCGATTACAGGACAAAAATGAGTGTAATCAATTAATAATCGATTACACAAAATTCCTCTAAGTAATCGATTATTAATCGATTACATTTTTCAGTAATCGTGCCCATCCCTGGTCAGAATCAAAGTTTGTGTCATGTATCAACTTTCAGTTTTTCTCCAAGGGAGAGTTATGAACTTTTGAGCCAGCAACCTGCAAATATAACCTTGAGTCAAGGTCAGTACACACCACCTGTTGACAGGAAATCTTTATGTTAAGTATTACTATTCAATGTTTCTTCATTAAAAGTTAAACCAGTTTGGTCAGGACAGGAATTAAACATTTTTTGTACAAGTGAACTTGAACTTGACCAAATGACCTTAGGTCAAGGTATACCTGAGGCTATAAGCAAGTTTTGTGCTGTATTTTTTCTTCATTAAAAATAGCTTTAGAGCAGAAACAAATTTTACTTTTCTGGTCTTGAATTATCCAGAATGACCTTTACTCAAGGTCAAGATTTTTCCTCAATTCATAAGCAATCTTATGTGTCAAGTATGAGCTTTCAATATTTCTCCAATACAGTGTTCTGACCCACATGATTGAACGGACCGACTGATTGACAGACAGATAAACAGACATGCTGATTCCTACATACTTCCAAAATTTTATTTGCAGTAGAGAACTCGTACAAAGTTGTGTTTTTTTTCTTCTAAAAACTGTATTTATTTATCCAATTAAAATCTTGTTGAAACAGATATAAAACATAGATAGGTAATCAAAGATTTAAAAACTCACTCCCATGTATGTTATCGATAAGTAACATGCATTACCAATGTCAGTTCAGTCAACCAATTACTACCCGGTAGTAGCTAATACTGACTTTGAAATGGACCAGATGTAAAACTTTAACTTGTTCATTCACCTAAAAATGTAGGTCAAATCCTGCATCCCAAGTAAGTCTGGTAGTGTGCATCCTTGTATGCTTCATCCATGCAAGTTTGGTTTAGGTAGATCTTTGACCTGTTTTACTCAACTGGAAAATGTAAGTCAATTCATCCAGCATCTATTGAAGCAAATCTAGTAGTGTGCATCCCTAGATTCACATTCATGTAACTTTGGTCCAGGTAAAGTTTGTAGTTATTTAATTATGAATGAATCTGTTAAAAAAAAATCAACATCTTCATTCAACCAGAAAATGTAGGTGAGATTCAGCATCTGTAGCCAGTATGGAATGAAGCATTGCTTAGAAACATCATTTGTTTAATATTATGATCCAGGTAGGGCTTAGTTACTTGGGAATGAATCTGTTCCAAAAACCAACCATTATACTCATCTAGAAAATATAGGTCAGATTCCTTTTATTTTGTATGATCCCTAAATGCATCATCCATGCAAGCTGAGTCACTAAGACTTATAGTTACAATGTACTTTTGATTGAAACTTGTTTCTATAATTTTAACCTTCAAAAACTTGAACTTGGTCTCTCATCCGGTATATGATCATGCACCTGAAGCAAGTCAGATATGTACATAGCACGATGCAAGCCAAGTTTGGGGACGTATGGCTTATAATCACTAGGGAATGAAAGCTGCTGCTCAAACTTTAACCCAAATGCCAATGCCGATGTTAGGGGTATAGCATAAGCTTATCTCGCCTTTGTCAATGTAAGCTAAATGTATGATTGTTGCCCATCACATTTAATCTGGTGTACATATACACTGTTTGAGAACATTAAAACTCATGCACATACAGTCACTTATTTCATATACAGGTAGCCTCCTCCTCTGAGAAAGAGAATCATATAAGAGCCTGTAAACACACACAAACAATCCATCCCTGACTTCTTTGGTATTTCATATTTTCTTCTGTTTCCTTTGGCCTGCCTCAGTATTTCTGCCTCTTCATTTAAATTTTTTCACTTTACTCTGACTGCTTTGGGCTCTGTAATAAGTTTTAATGTTTACATTTCACCCTCTTCTTGCTGTGTTCTTCACTGGAGTCCCGATCATCTGCCCTCACATGTTTGTGTTTCTTTCTTTTTAACTTTTCCCGTTTTCTTCAGTAAAGAAAAAAATCCAAGGAACAATTTTAGCAGAAATAATCAGATGTATTATGTTACTTGAACATGCATATGTTTTCTTCATATACGAAATATCTAACACAGAAGACCATCGCCACTAATGATAACCTGGGTTTTATGTAGCTCTCTGGGAAAAATTCATACAGACATACCCTAGAGCTACAGATCCACTCGTTGAAAATAATCCATTTACAGCAATAATTTTTAGTTCTAGTGGTCAGAGACTAGAAGAGCTTATGCAACAGTATGGTGTCGATCATCTGTCCACCTGTCTATTGACTCTATTTATCTATCAGACTGTTTTGGGTAAATATTTTTTTTAAAAATGCTTCTGTTTTTGTCCGATTTCAATAAAACTTTCTACACAGGTAGACTTCACTTAGATACATAATTCTTGTGTATCATTTTTTGATTTCCATGAATGAAAACTTACAGAGAGAAATTTCTGCAAAATTCTTTCAAAACTACTTTTTTGAACAGTTTTAGTCTGATTTTACACAAGTAAGCTATACATGTACAATAAACATTAATCTGTTTACTAATTTTAAATTTTGATCAATGGTTTTGCCAGGGTCACTATAAATAGAAAATTCCGAGAAATTCTTTCAAAGTTATCAGAAACCAGGCCAAAATTATAGTAAAAGAAGCATAAATTGAATACACACAACTTGGAAAAGTTTGTATATTACCGTATATACTCGCCTATAAGTCGGTCCGCATATAAGTCGGTTGTATTTTTTAAGTTTAAATAAGAGGGATCGACCTGCTAAAATACCAATCTTTTTATAACTCGCGTATAAGTCGGATAAAGAGGTTTGGGCAAAGTTTAATTCCCAAAAAAACAATTTATAGTTGAGTATATATGGTAATATGATTCAGTGTGGCCCTGCTACTCTCGAATAACTAATTATTTCTTAAATACATATTTCCATGTAAAGCTTTGATCTCCTTTTGTGGGCTTATCCTATGCTAGGATGCTTCGAAAATCTGCACTACATGAGAATGCTTGTACATTTCTATCACTAATCATGGACTATCTATACTAAAGAAGAATATTTTTTAAAGATCTTTTTATATGGTATATTTTCCTTAGTAAAAGTTTGTTCCCCTATCCTAACCTCCCCCTCATCTTGGCCCAAAAACCATAATAATATGTTATTGCTTTTTAATTCATAGATTACTTTTTTGTCAGACATGAAGACTGGCTAGTATTGAACTTTTGTCGGACATTTACAATAAATTAATTTTGACTGCAAATCTGACAAAACAAACAAGTTTTGCAAATTGTAGTAGTTTGTTTCTGTAGTTTCAAATCATTTGGGGTTTTTTTCCCTCTTTGAGATGATTTTTCTCTCACCTTTTTCTATTTCTTTCTTGTTCATCATCGATATCATCATCATCACCACTGTCATTCTTCTCTTTATGTTTTCTTTTTCTTTTTTTCTTCTTTAGTTTTATCTTTTTCTTCTTCCTGTGACAATAACATCATATACCTCATACATTAGTTTATTAGAAACAGCTTACTGATAAATGAATTCATTCTATGAAGGGAGATAGTTTAAGATTTAAGACTGTGCATTTTCTACTATAATTCCTAAGTAAAACTTAGATCACATATTGTGGCTCCATCTACACTATCAAAAAAGTTTTTATATAAATATGACAATTCATGGCTTTGCTGTTCTTTTGAACAAGATTTTTCTAATGTATTAAGTAAAAATTTGATCCCCAATTGTGCCTCCCTGTTATGATTTGTGTTACTTGATTACAAACTTGAATCTACACTACCTGAGGATGCTTTCATTTAAATTTGACTAATCATGCCTTTGCTGTTCTTGAGAAGATTTAAAAATTTTTCATATACATTTTTGATTTCCCATTGTGACCCCTCCCTATCCCCAGGGGTCATGACTTAAACTTTAAATTGGCTGACCTGCTTTTCCGTGGATATATGTATATATATATATATATATATATATATATATATATATATATATATATATATATATATATAATATATATATATATATATATATATATATATATATATATATATATATATATATATATATATTTTACAGTAAAACTCGTTTGGTAGGAACACGGATATAGCGAATTTATGGATATAGCGAAGTTGGAAGTTGTTTGCAATCCCTTGCAAATTCTTAACAATGCCTTAATTGTAAAATTTTACAGATATAACGAAATTGGATACAACGCATTTACGGTTATAGTGAACTGATTTTGTGTCCCCTAGAGTTAAATATAAGGCAATTTATATTGTTCATAGGGAATTTTCAAAAGATTTGTAATTCTAAAATATTGAACTGACATAATCTTATAAGTATTTATATTTGAAATTCAATCCATCTAAAAACTTTTGAACTCCCAGGTAAATATTGTATTATATACTTCCCTAAATACATTCGGTAGTCAAACTTGAAGGGAAAAAATCTATATTACGAATCCGCTATATATACTTTAAGGAATTCATTATACAGATATAACGAATTACAGATATAGCGAAGTAAATTAGGAGGTCCCTAGAACTTCGCTATAACCGAGTTTTACTGTATATATATTTCAGGCATTCTAGAAGTTATTCTAAACACAAAAATGTTGCAAATTAGTTAAATGTTTAATATTAAATTGACTGGACAAGTCAAAAATCTGCTGCCTTGACCATGGAAAAAAATCTTCATTTGAGGTTGTCTTGTGACACATCTTTAACATGCAACAACAAATGACTTTTAACTCTTCTAAATAAGGGCTACAATGTTACACCTGTAATTTGTGTTTATTCTTACTCAGAACTTTTACATTTGCTGTCTGTGTCAGATCCAGTTTGGAATTCTTCTGGATGCAACTCCTTGTAGCCACTGTGGTCCCACCTGAAAATCAATAAATATACTATGTACAATAATACTGAATTCAATTCAGAAGTGGGATATGTAAAGTATACATGTATACAGAAAAACTCATTCAGTACAAACATGGATATAGCAAATTTACAGACATTTAAAACTTTTGTACGCCAAGATAAGTTTTGTATTTACTACAGTGGCTGCAACGTTATTGTTGACAACTTACACGAACAATCATGTTACACGCACACAATTAATGCACTATTAAACCTGTAACATGAACGATCCATTAATCACATGATTCTACACGTTACACGATCTTACACGATTGTTAATTCAAATGCACGATTCTTCACCCAGAATGGGTAAAAATATTTAGGAAAGAATATTTTCAAAAGGAAATAAGGCTTAATAGTTACAAATAATTATTGATGCAATTGATTGACTTTGGAAAACTGAAAAAAATTACTAAGGAATAGATATTTTTGAAACTAATTAAGACTAAATAGTTATTTAAGATTACAAATAATTATTTATGAAATTCTCCAACTTCGTAAAGATGTAATTTGTGATTGATTGCTACATGTTCTATGAGAATAGAGATGATACAGGTGCATGAGCTGTGAGTTTTGATTCTATTTTATGATATGCAGTTAGGGGATAAGATTAAAAAAAAGCATTGGCATATAAAAATTAATTAAAATTATATCCATCTTTCCATTAGTGAATCTTTAAAATCAGCAATTAATTTACAATTCATTCATTTGCAGAAATTATCAAAATAAAGTAAGTATCAGGGATAAACACTGATAAAAGTAACCCGACAATCATGTTGGTAACATTCGCCGACTAAATATGTCAGCATTAAGAATTATTCATTTTTGGGGGGGTAAAGATATACATTTTTGATGTATAGATATAAAAATATCTGTCCAAACTTAGCAGTAAATATGATAAGCATCAGGGTTCAGAATAAAATCATTAAACATCTTAAATATGTGTATCATTAAATTTTACAATATTTTAAGAGAATACAACATTGAACAACTTACTATATTACTTATTTACTAGCGATATTTAGTTAGTTCAATTATGTAAATCGTGCTTCATTTCTTTAAAACAGACAAGTGCAATGCTTGTTTAACAAATTACATTCCGATAAAAACTTACAAAACGAAATTTTCACGTTTCTTACCGCATGATCACGCACGATTAAAACCGCAAACGATTCAGCCTGATACACGCACGATCCCTGACGTTACACGAATGATCAAGCATGTTTCACGAATGATTCTACACGATTGGCTTGTCAACAATAACGTTCCAGCCACTGTACGTCCTTGAAAATATTCAGTTGTCATGCAGAAGGAAAACAGGTATATTGAGAACTCAGTATGTATATTTTAATATTTACATTTCCAAATATTTTTCCTTACGATTCTTTGCAAATTAGAAAAAAGTTGAACTTCATGTTCTAATGAACTACCATGGATGAGCAAGGATATCTGCATTGTGACGTCATAATACCATACTCCACGTCAAATGTTTTGTTTCAGAATTCTTAGTTGTATGACATACATTTGTAGGAAGTCTTCAGAATAATAATGTAAATATAGGACATGAATTTAATTTTTGTGAATTCATGAGGTACATGAAGTACAACACTTCACGCCTGCATATTTATCATGAAGTGCTAATATGCTTCATGAAATATGCTGGCGTGAAGCATCGTAGTTCAGGTCCTCATGAATTCTAAAAATTTAATTCATTTCTTAATAAATCATTATATGGATACATGTATGACAAAGAAAGAGGGCGTACAAGGCGAGGACAATCCCCCAGTCTGGGACAATATATTTCTCAATTTTCAAAGTTCACAAAAAAGTTATATTTTTCTAAAAGAATGTTTTCCGTAATGTCATCTTCAACACATTTGATTCAATTATTTTATTGAATGACTTTTTGATTGATAAGTTCATAGTAAGGCTTATTTAGTGGAAAATGGGTTTGTTAGAGCCATAAAAATGATTTTTGAATATGAATGGGTCAAGTCTCCATTCTTCATTAACGTTTATTTGACGGAAAAGTAAATGTAAAATCTAGTTCATGTTTCAAAAAAATGGAGTCTAAACCCATACTTTATGAAAATCGAACATTTCTGAAAATTTTTACGCTTCAACAAACTCATTTATTTAAATCACACTAACATCAAACAAGACAAGCAGACTTTGTAGGGTAGTGGTTAACGCGTTCAGACTTATGCCTATAAACGTGATCTTTGGAGAAATATTGGGAAATACAAAGTTAAAGTTTTCTTTATTTCTTTCATTCATTCAATCTTATACAAAATTCAAAAATAAAATAAACACAAAAACAGAAGATGAATAATATTGAATATGTCTCAAATTGCAATTGAACATATTCAGAATGTAACACTACTCCAGGTCCCATACCCATATAATCATTCCGAAACATTTCCTTAGCTGTATAAAACTGAAGTTTTCCAATTCAAGTTCTTTTCAGTTTTGTAAAATTATTAAGTTTATTAATTATAAATCCAAGAACAAAACAAACTTGTTTTAATCCTTCTATAAACACTGTAGTTATTACAATCAATCATGTTGTTTTAACAAATTGCTCTGGACAGTTTTGTGCTGCTGTTTTGAGATATAATTACCTTGAAAAGAACTGAAAGGCTTCTTCTTAGGTTTGATATTTATACCATACTCTATAGAGCTGTATCAATATATTGATATATCAATACGTATCAATATTTAAGAATGTATTGTATCGAAAAAATAACTTCCAATACGTATCAGACATGCAGATTTTCTCATAATTCTGTGGAAAAGTTGGGAATTTCAATCACCAAAGGTCATATTTTCACTGTTTTGAATTAAAATTGATCAATAATGGTATAATCATTAAGGAAATAGCACATCTTAGATAAATATTACAAAATACATAGACAACTTTATTTTAACATGCTGTTTTTACATACATAAAAAGTTTGAATTTGAAGTGTAATTTGTAGAGATAGTGAGACAAGACCTTCAAAATGGGTTATAAAACGATTTGTTTTTATAAAATTCATGCTTTAAATGATTTATATGACTTTTTTTGATAAACTTAAAGAATCCAATATATCAGATATGGCATTATAAAATATTGTATCGTATCGTATCGAATTTTTTTGCTCAATACACAGCCCTAATACTCTACATTTAAGAATTTTCCAAGTTCCTTCTTTAGTTACATAAAAAAAACCATTGAGATCTTTGGGTTTATTTCATGGATTAGACTACATCTGACTCAAGCATGAAACAAATGACACTCATGACTGGTATATGAATAAACTGTTTTATGATTATAGAAAATGAATTACTTGGAAACCAGAATTTTTTGAGTCAGGGACAGTGATACCAGGTAGATATCTTAGCCAATAAGATGTACTACATGTCAATATGAATGAAGTATGTAGCTATTTCTTATTTCCCAGTATTTCCCGGGAAATACCAGTAATTCCCGGTAATTACCAGTATTTCCCACCGTCCTGGGAAATATGAGTATTTCCCAGTTTTTTGCCAACCCTGAGTAAAATTTTGCAAAAGTGGGTCAAATTACAAGGTCAAGAGTCAAATATGTTGGTACCCAAAGAAAGTTCTTGCCACAAGGAATATACCTGTGAAATATGAAAGCCATAACTCCAATCAGTCAATAGTTATGGTCAAGGTTAAAGTTTTTGAAGACAAACTGATAAACTGACAGACAGATGAATGTACATGGCAAAAACTATATGCCCCCAAATCTTTGATAACGGGAACATAAAAATCTTGTTTAATATAATCGAAATACTCTTCAAGAAACATTCTATGCTAAGTTACATAGTCCCCACCCTCTCGGACACAATGACAGCCCAGGAAGCTGACATTTATTAGGCCTTGACCTTCAATTTGGTGAAACTTTCATTCAGTTGTAAATATTGAGAAATCAACATACTTAACTTTCAAAGAGTTACCAAAACGAAAACAGTTGGAAGTGTAAATATTTATCTTTATTTACAGTATATACCTGTCTGGAATAGCTTCCTCTGCTTTCTGCAACTCTTTTGTCCAGTAAAAAGATGGCTTGGATTGTCCACCTAGATCTAATGAAGAACTTCTCCCACTCTTTTTAGAAAATCTGTAACTGGAACTTTTTTGTCTGTCCTGTTTATAGGATTTGTCCCTTGTGTATTTTGACTTCCTAGAATTTACTTGACATTTTTCAGCATTCATCATCTCATACTGCCTCCACATTAGAGATTCTTCAACTATCTAACCAAAAATGTTTTAACAATTATAGTATCTTAATCAAAGTATGGGACAAATCACATTCATAAATTCAACCTTTATAGTTTTAAGTAACTTCCTACTTTTTTTTAGTAATAAAATTCACATTTAAAATAATGCAGTGGACAGACCACACTTGAGACTTGTGGAACAGAAGGATGAAAATGTATAATCCTCAGTTTCCTCACTTAAGTGACTCTTTCTAATATTGAAAAAGGAAAAGATAATAACAGTGGTCGATCATAAAAAAAAAATCTACACAAAATACAAATCTGAGAACAGAGCTTAAACATGGACTCCCAGAAATTCCAGAGGTGGGATCAGGTGCATATAAAATAAGGTGCATATAAATGAATACATGTATTTGAATAAAATCTTTCTTATGCATTTTTTTAGACTCTCTGTAAAAGCATATACCTTCAACTGTCTTACATGTAATTTATAATTATTCATGCCCATATTTGGTCCAAATCTTAATCGAGAAACTAGTACTCAATTGCTTGCAAACAGTACTAGTATGAGAAATTGGAGCTTCGTTATTCCTTAGAAAAGAATTTTAAAAGATATTCCCTGTATATGCTGTAAATCAAATTCATTCACAAAAACTTTATTTTCTTTTATTAATGTGAGACAGTCTGCTAGTGAAAATTTCATTCTTGCTTATTTTTGTATTCTTTAAGATTACAATGTATCTAGAGCAATAACCAGAATTCTTGAAAATTTTGTCTTGTTAATAGAAAGTAAATAACTAACTTGGAAAATAAGGTGTCAGGATAATTTACTAATCTACAGTAACATATCCCTCTAAAAAATGTGGTCCCATCTTGACTCAAAAATCCTGGTAGGATATATAAAACTATGCAACATAGAGAAGCTTACCCACAGTCATCAATTTAAAAATTTTGGTAGATTGCTCAGTGAAAGTAGGCAAAGTTTGTCTGCTAGATGTCTATGGGGTAAATTGCTCAGTGTTGGCAATAAAATCACCTGCTAGATGTCTAAGGGGTAAGTTTGTTTGCCACATGTCTAAGGGGTAGATTGCTTAGTGTAAGCTGGCAAAAGTTTGTCTGCTAAATTCTAAGGACCAAAATTTTTTTCTAATATATTTGTAATGTCTTCTAAACATGCTAAATATTGACCAACTTAGGCCCACAAGAGGCATAGACTTAAGACCCAGGTCCGAAAATTTTTTCAACTTTTGTAGAGGACAGTAAAAAAAGTAAAGAAAAAAAAAAGCATGATAAAAATGGTTTGATTTTATTTTCCAAGGCTTGACAATATACATGTAAACTCAAAAGCATCCTCACAATATCAAGGTTTTGTGATTTCGGAACTCCATGTGTGGAGTTCCGAAATCACAAAACGTTGACATTGTGAGGATGACTCAAAAGTAGTCTTTTAGCATATTTAAAGAAATACTGTGTTTTGGTTATGTTTTTTTTTTTCATTTACCTTATTGTGACTTGTTGCATGGCGAATATGATTTTTCAATAATGTCTTTGATGAGCTCATCTTTTCTGTCATCTTCAATTTCTGAAAATACATGCATCTTAAAACCATTGCACTTTGAAATAAGATAAATAACATTGCTAATTTTACGTTGCTTGCATATTTTTATGTGTATACTCATCAGTTGATTTCCTTATAAACTACATTGAAGAATTATGATACTTCAAGTATAAATGCTGAATTGTTGTGCCTCTGTTGGATAGCAAGTCATACAATGATGTTATACCACTACAGAAGATGAATTTTACTTTCAGTCAATCATTTAAATTTTAATATTTCTACCAAATAAATCAAACAACAGGCTTATGGCATGCTGTTCATAAGGAGATTTTTCAAAGAATTTTTTTTCCCCATCAATATTCTTGTACTCATACTGTGACTCCATCCTAGCACAAAGGGGTTACTTAACATGAAACTACAATACATGGGGATTCTAAATATCAATATGACTTACATGGCTTTGCTGTTCTGGAAAGATTTCTTCCCTATACACTGTGAAGGTATTTATATTAGTGGTAATCTATGGAAGGTAATCGTGTTCAAAAATCCAGTCTTGTAAGTACAGGGTTCTCCATGGGCTAGATCCACCGAAATATCATTTTATGCCTCTAAACTGCTTAAATATCTTTTTTAAGGATGACAGACCTAATTCGAAATTTCACGCCACTGCGCAGAAAACCACGCATATGCCTTGAATCGAATTGACTTAATTATGTATTGCAAAAGATAAGAAATTTACATTTTTAATTATTTTAAAGATATTCAAATGTTTCCTCTCAATTCAAAAATATTGTAATATTTTGATTCATATTTATTTGATGATTTTATAAATAAATGATTTATTTGGCCAAGGTATTTTCATTGAAAATTTCCCCCAAATTGTGCCCTACACCTGAGTTTGACATGCCCCCCTGAAAAATCTAAGCTGATGACCCATTTATTTTTTGGCATAATTTGCTGGTAAATTGTCTTGTTAACATTGTCCTTTTATATGAATAAAAATTATATTGCAGATTTTTTTTCAATGATCACTCTTATACCCTACACTAGCAATTTCCCTTTACTTCCTATAGTAATTATCGATTTCCATGGCCAACTTTTGAAACGCTCCCCATTAAAAATCTACATCAATGACCATATGATTTTTTTATTGATTTTAACTCACCAAAAGTCACATTACCTCATATTAAAATTTGAATTAAAAATCTAATGCAGAAATGAATTAGGTCCGTCGTCATTAATTCACAAGTTTTAAGATATTTCAGTATTAATTGCAAATACCGGTATATAATTTATATATAAAGATCTTAGCGTGATTGTGTGACTTCCCAGAATTTCACCTGTCCCTTAATGAACACTGTATAATTTACTTTTGTAAACAAAATTATTTTTTTTAAAAAAAAGGGTTTAATGCTTAAAACTTATTGTTACTGTTTTACACTATTTTTAATCGATATCGATTAATTGCTTTTATTATTAAATTCAATGATCAATTTGCCAAATAATTAATATCATTTGTGCATTTAACCACTGATTCATTGTGTTTTTCAATTTATTTCATGGTTCCTTCACGAATTCAGTCGCGAAATGACCGCGAAAATTCGTATTAGTTTCATAGGTTACATACGTAAGTAGGTAATTCCGACATCCTAGCATGTAGTTCTGAACATACAACTGCATGTGGTAACTATGAGTTTATACTATGAAAATGTGTGGTATTTTTGATGTTGTAAACTTTGTTTTCTGGAAACTACATTGCCTCGCTCTGAACAATTCACAAGTCTACAAATGTAAAGTTTACACTTTGTCAAATTTTGATATGAGAAATTATGGAGGGGCATCAGTGCCACAATTCCTTTTAAATGTTCTTATTTTCTTTTTTATTATTCTAACTTCTTCTTTTTCCAAATTAATTAAATTCTTTATTTTTTATTTCTTATTTTAATTCTAACTTCTTGTTTATATTTTCCAACTTTATTTTTTTTTTCCTTATTTTCTTTTATTTTGACATTTCACTTCATTTCGTATTTTGATTCTATCTTAAATTTTAAATTATGTTTCACTATACCTAACTTATTACTTTTTTTTTGGTTAGAACTATAAGCAGAAACGAAAGTTTGAATTAGAAAGTAGGAATAAGAGAGTTAAATTAAGGAATCTGAAAGAAATTAAAACAAAAAGGGGTGCTATGACCTTTTATGTTCATGTACATAGAGATCTTGTGGTAACAGTCTTATGAAACATAGAAATATTTCCCAGGAACATGAAAAAAGAATGTTGTTTTCTGTTTTTTTTAATTTCAAAAACCTTATGTCATCCTGGTGTGTTTCTCTTGTTTTCAGGCCCATATGAAGCAATTTCATTTGGGGGCACCAAACAAATATTTCTTGACAACCCCCCCTTCCCCCCAAAAAAATCTGACATTACTGTTAAGGGGACACAATGGTAAATTAGCCTTGATTTCTTATGTATTTTCCAGCAAAATTATTGAGGGGATGCAATCGGAAATGGCTTTATTTTACATCTCCATATTTCATTGTATAGTATATACTGGCACCCTCACTCCCCTCACTGCCTACGGACCTAGCTCCAGGGCCATGAAACTTAGATGAGCTCACTTTTGATCACAGTCTCACCTTTCCTACTATTAAGTGCTTTGGTAAAAGTGAGACAAATCAAAAGTGAACTTATTTAAGTTCTATGGCCCTGGAGCCTAATGTTTAAAATATAAATATCACTGCTATTTTTGAATACCCGCTTATGGTACACAAATATCAGGTATCTTTAATAGATTGATATCGTCATCATGCAAATTATTTTTTCAAAGTAGGACTGGAAAAAAGTCTTCACTTCAACAAATCTCAGGGCTGAAGAACGAGGGGGTGGAAGATTGGGCTCCCTACTCTTTTGTGTGAAAAATAATCTTTCGCAGTTGTTTTAATATTAAAAAATTTATTTATAAGCTGCATCCCCCCCCCTCCCACCACCACCACCACAAACACACTAATTTTGCAGTATCATCAAACTCTGGCAAATTCTTGTGTGGAATAAAAGTTATTGAAAAGTTAAAGAAAGATATCCTAAACATTATTTCAACCTCCCACGAAGAAGGAGGAGTTATTGCAGTTCATTTATTTATTTTTTGCTCATCAATTTTTATTTACCCCCCCCCCCTTTCTTGTTACAAATCTGCATCTTTAGAGTGGTTGTTCCTTTTTTTTTAAAATATGATATTATTTCAATTATATTAGTTCTTAACAAACTAGGGCACTGATCATAGTAGCTATAGATAGCTATGATAGACACCCCCCTTGCCATTTATTTTTTGTTCAAAAAAAACTTCATGAATCATCAGGAAGAATCACTATATTCAGACGCTGAGTATATTTTTTATGCCCACGGATCGAAAGATCCCAGGGGTATATTGTTTTTGTCCCGTCTGTCTGTTTGTCTGCCTGTTTGTCTGTCTGTCTTTTGTCAACTTTAACCTAGCCCATAACTATTGCGCTGTCAAGGGTAAGGCTTTAATATTTGACAAAAGTGTTCATTATGACAAGACCTTTCCATTGGTACAGAAATTTTTGTTCATGTGACCTCAACTGTGACCTTTGACCTACATTTGAAAAACTTTAACATTGGCCATAACTATTGCACTGTAGTCTACGTCCCAATCCAGAATTGTGTTACCATCGGGGGCAAAGTGTTTCACAAACACATCTTGTCCTCTCATAAAATTTTGCTTGGGCGAGGTGTCTTTTAGATGGGCCGACCTGTGACTATCAATGACCGAGGTGTCATTGGGCCAAGACATCTGCCTACCTCGACAATGATTCCTATAGCGTTTTGTAAGTAAGCTTTGTACATGACACATGCAGTAGAAAGTGTATAAATACCTTTAACAACTGTTTAAGATTTTATTTTGATTTCAGCATTCCACATTAGCGCACAGGTGGTTAACAAAGGATCGAATAAGGCACTTTTTACAGAAAACAATTGGCATCCGCAAAGAAATTCTGCTTCATAACTTCTACAAGTTCCTCTAGGCCAATCCTGACAATATACATAATAATAATGATGCACTTTAAACGTTTTAGCCTACGAACTAACAAACTTTACAAAGTATTGTGGACGGTCCTAAATCAATGGGGTACCTAAATCGGTGGCATCTCCTTTTGAGCTGGTATTTTTTATTATATTTATTGGGAGATCTGACTTTATCAATATATAAATAATGTTAGGTGACACAGTAGCTTATAGTACGTGATACAAAAGTAAAAATACATGTACCCATAAGAAAAAACATTTAGATACAACAGTATTTGATTTACTTTGAAACATACTCAATTTTTGAGAGGTAAAATAAAATAAGATTGAAATTACCAATTAAATTTGAATTTGTTGAGAGTATGCAATCAAAACAAAATCTATACAAAATTTCAACATCTGTACAGATTAGTCATTTGATAATCAAAGAAATTTAAAATTTTAGGGGACTCCAAAAAGTTCATGTCTGTTATATGATCTATGTGTATATTTTTAAAGGCTAGTTGCATTTAGATAGTAAATAAATTCACAATAAATACATAATTAAACAGTAAAATATTTTAAATCAGAAAACTTTTCCAACTAATTTTCTGAAAAGGTTAAAAAGAGAAATTTTTTACTGTAATCATGATTTTTGCCCAAAGTTGGTGTTGTCATGTGAGCTTAGTTTAGCAGTATGAACAGGGTAACCACTGGACCCATGGCTGCTTTGATTCAAAAGAAATTTTCTTATATGGTGAACATTTTATTGACATCACTTTCAATATTAACATATGTACCTGTTAAAAATATTCTGTAAATCTATTGCTGTACATTTCCATAATTTCTAAATCATTTGTTTGTTTGGTGCTGAACTTACGAAGGTAGAAACCTTTGAAAAGCATCATACCACTGATTTAGGTACCTCATCTATTTGCACCTGCCCAAAACAGAATGTCATACATTTGGAGAATAATCAGATATCGATTCGTTATTATTCAGTTATTTGATTAAAATTTTGGTAATATTTGAATAAATTATAGGAACCTTTAAAAGCAAAACTGCATTAATTCCCTATTCAATTGTACGTCTTGTTTGTAAGTAATTGAATGCTTATTACCACCAAAATTATGAAAAATGGGTTCCTCGAAGTCGAAGATACATTTCAATATTTGTTTAGTTAACTCGTACTCATACTAACTCGTATATAACACATTTCGAGTACAGTCAACTCGTACATTTTGTGGAATGTGCGCTCAACTCGCATATGCGAGTGAAATAACTTTCCAAAAGTATTTGCATTAATTTGGAATTTTCCAATCTATTTTTAGTGTAATGTGGATGAAAATAAATCCTTATATTCACCTGGAAGATCACATGCAGGTGAATAAAACTTAGTATTTTTTTTCTACATTTTTGGATCTCAGTCAACCAGAGAGAAAGGAATTATCCAATCATACAATATGATGTTTACCATGTAGGAAAAAATATAAATATTTTATTTATTTTCTTTAACAAGTAATAGCTTTTCAAAAAGCTTGCCTGACCAAAGCAATCAATATCTATGGAACATGTATGTGTATATATATGCAAGAGAAGTGCTAAACGTTTCCATCTTTTTGTTTTTTTAGTTTTTTTAAAGTTCAAAATATTTTATTACCGTACATTTTGAGGACCTTGTACATAAGAAAGCACTATAATTTTTTTTAACTTGTTTGGAATTCAGAAGAAGAATGAAAAGAGAAAAAAATTATTTAGGCCTAACATTTATTTATTTTTTCATCTCAAAGAACAATTAAGGATTTATACATGTACGTGGAATGCACATGCATGTGGATAACATTTCAATGACATGATATTGTTTTACAAATTTTACTCTTAGAAGTGTGAAGAGAAATAACAATGTTTGAAATGAATAAAGGAGTTGGGATGCACATGGCCATGGAGGTGCATGGTAAAGTGAAAAGGTATAAATCACAATGTTATGTATCAGGTGTATGGCAAAATGTTTCTTAAAAATCATTACCTAAAACAAATGTCATACTACCGGTTATGAATGTATATAAGTTTTGAGAAAGCAAAATAATCTACACCTGTCTTGTACACTGAAAGAAAGTCATACATCAGAATAAAAGGAAACGGATGTACATCTTGATAATGATTATGTTACAGTTCACTTTCTGTAATAGATATAAAGTACATGTATGTCGAATACAGTTCTATATGTAGTGAGCAGTCTGATATTAAGCGTAATATCAGACTGTCTCAGTTATTGATATCCTTCAAAACTGGACTGTTACTGAACAAAAGAATTAAAAATCCGATCATTTAGCAAACCAGGTGTGGATCCAGGCATTTTTTTTTCAGGAGGTTGCACTCAAGTCGAAAAAATTCCAAATCAGAAATTTCTTGACAAAACAAAAACAAACAAAGACTGCTTTCCAAAACGTAACAAACCCCTAAATATTTCTTGCCGAGCAAAAAACAAAACAAAAACAAAACAAAACAACAACATTCTTAAATGATCTTTTGAATGACGTGCAAGTATAATGCCGTGCATTGAGATTCGGCAACTCAAGATGTTTTGTGCCTAATATGTTGCTTAGCAAAATTATTTACGCATGCAGCAATAAAGTAAACAAGTGAAATTGAAAGTACATCGAAAACATAGGCACTCCCCAGCTTAATTGTTAAAAATATATATATCTATTATACTATAAACATGTTTTATAGTATAGTAGATATTTTTATTTAACAATTAAGCTGGGGAGTGCCTATGATCGAAAATAACTTTTTAAAAATATTTATATATACAAAATGGATATGGGCAATATTCGGTCCTGTAACTAACTGCATTGCAGTGTATCTAATATTTAAGCAAAAATGCATTGACAGTTACAATTGAAAATCATTTATCTATAATTATGTCTAAGGAGTCAGTGAGAGTCTCACGCTATCCACTGATAGCGGTGAACGGTTACTGATCACGTGATGACTAGAGTTCAGCTCACAAAACAGTTATAACAATGATCTGGATTAAATTCTTCACAACATAAAGAAACCGGAAACATTTTTGGCGTGTGCACATGTATAGTTTTTAAGTGCATTGAGCATGTGCAATTTTTCTCTTACTACTTTGCAATTGCGCTATCTTAATTCCCACAAAAATACATTGTCAATCCATGTAAAGAATACGTTTTTTTACAAACTAATTTGAGCGAAGACAATTATCTGATTTATACAGGTAATACTTTAGTTTGAAGAAAGGAAAAATATCTTCAAAATAAAATTATTTTGAAAAAAAAATAATAATACTTAAAATGAGCACGATTTATTTGATGAGGCATATTTGCTGCACCGTAAAATCGGTAGTACCTTGCATGTAGGTGCAGATACATGTACGTGCATGTGCCCTTATTGCCTGAAACAAGCAAAACGATTTATTAGCCCACCACCATCCTCTATAAAATCCCGAATTTATACTTCTCTCGCAATTGTGAAATTTGCATACGGTACTCTAGATCTACTCAAAGATCTCCCTTTGAACAACGTAAGTACAGCGATCAATGGAATAAAGCTATATAGTAATGCAAGGGCTCGGTGACGAGATGACGGGAACTATTTGCTGATCAAAGACTACAAAAAGTACTGTACATAAAACCTTTCAAAATGATTTTTCGTATTTTGATGAGGCATATTTGCTGCACCGTAAAATCATGTCTGTGCAGGTACCCTTATTGCCTGAAACAAGTAAAACGATTGGTTTGTAATTAAGCTTAATATTCACTAGCCCACCACCATCCTCTAGAAATCCCGAATTTATACTTCTCTCTCAAATGCTTCAGTGGCGGATCCAGAAGTCCACGTGGGGGGTTTTGAGGCCCGTAGGGCCGAAGGGGGAGGGCATGGGAGGGGGTGTCCCCCTCCCATAGGTGGGGGTTCGGGGGGCCTCCCCCGAGAAATTTTCTTTAAAAATGGCTCCAAATGGTGCATTTTCCAGCATTTAAGATTGAATTAGTTAGTTTTTGGTCACTTTTTTCCTAGTTGTTTTTCAAGACCGACCTACCCAAATTTTCAAGAAATTGAACAAAAAATTAAAATTTTGGGATTATTTTTAACTTCCATGTTAACTTGAAAAATGAGACTTTTCTAAAGAAAAAATTAAATGTAAAATCTGATAAAATTAGAAATATATAATATCCAATTCTTCATTTTAAAATGCACGTCCAACACACTGCCGCATGTGAAGCTTTGTCTTCCAAAATACAACTGCATGATGTGCAATTTGCAATATATACACATAATGATATTTCATATTGAAGAATAAATTTAGATTATTTTGGAAAATAATTGGAATTTTTGCTTCTTCATTGGGGGGGGGGGGGTTAATTATAATTTCTAACATAAATGCACTCTTTAATTCTATTTTTTTTTTTACCCACTTACCTGCCCAATGTTTGAAAAAAAAGTCTTGAAAAACAATCAATAAAAAAGTGGCCAATTCTTGTTTTGACAGGACCTCTAATTTATACGTACAATTAGTTTTACCACAATTCATTACACAAAGTTGTAACCGTTAGTTGGGTTTTATTCAACATCATTCAACTGTAATCTAAAAAAATGCAGATCTTTTGCTTTTTAAAATTGCATTGTAACTTCCATCTACAAAAGGAATACTTTCAATGTGCTGTTTGGTACAGGTCACAACGTACAAATGTATTTCAACTAGTATACGTCCCTGATGTATTAATTAATTTTTTTTCTATTAAATAATAATCACAGTTTATTCACGTAGTTCAATAAAGTAACATTCAATTATCGAAGAAAGAAGAAAATTCTCGAAACAATATTAATTTAGCCAAAACAAAACCGTAATAACTATGTGCAGTGTATGACGTTGCGTCATCACTAGCTGCATGGACTATCATGGGTGTCTTCCCACTTAGCCAAAATTCTGAAATTGTTACAGGTGACTGGTTTTGGCTAGGTGGGAATGGTGTACAGGTAAGGGGAGGGGAAGAACAAAAGAAATTAATTACAGGTGACCTATAGTCTGTTTTTAAATTAATCACAGTAAAGGGTTAAAATTATACTTAAAATTCTGATAATGTGATTATTGGAAAATTCTTTACTATTTTACTATGTATCACAAGTATTTGAAAATACATGTAAAAGTAAGGTAATATTAATTTAATGCCTTTCAATTAAATCTTAAATCTCTATACTGTATGTTTGATTGAAAAAGAGAATTATAACTAATATTTAAATCAAAATTTCATATTGATGGCAAAAAGAATGAAATAAGATGACTGATATCAATAGTACATGTGTGTATGCTAAAGTGTTCAATTCACCTTCAAATTTACTTGCTTCAAATAAATGTTGCTTATATCAGACTATTTTGTTTGAAAACTATGCTACAGAAATAATTTTTCAAAACAAACATTAATTTGTTCATTATATATGTGCATCTGATTCTATTGGGAAATTGTGTCTTCTCTGATGCAAAAAAATGCCGAATTTTTAATGAGTATTCACAATCGTTTTCAAAATGAATATGGACATTTTGGTTTTTTTTTTTTTTTTTTTTTTTTTTTTTTTTTTTAAAAACTAGTTCTTTAACTATGAAGTTATATTTTTACCTTAAAAATTTAGTTTCAGCTTGGATACTACTTATGTATTTCCAGTAGACTATATAAATCAAATTATACTATGATAATTTTACAAAATTGTTTCAACAAGAGAAGATTATGTAACTCTAAGTTGTGTCTATAATCCGTTTGTAAAATATAAATTTATATGTCCAATTCTTACGAAATATAAAAATATATCATAAATTTAAAGACTATTTCAAAAGCATGTGTGGAAGAAATTACTTATATTAAATGCATGTGCATATAAGTATACAATCAAAACCACATTGTATTTTTATCTCGATCACGAATTTATATTTTAAAACAAATGGTTATTAATAAGTACAGGTATTTCTACAAAATAAATTAAACTTCTTTTCATTTTTTTCATTTCTATATTGTATTAGTTAAGTTATAATCCAAATACATTCAATTGTTTACTGTCAAAATATTATGTTTTCCATGTTGATGAATGAATTAAATGAATTATTCATTCACCAATAAAAATCATTCTTAACATTGCCTATTTTTTTCATAACTAGTGATCCAAAATGTATTTTTTTTTCTTTTAAAAAAATATTGACACATGTGTATGTGTTTTAGAATTATTAATATGTAGAACCTGATTAATCTTTATCTAATAAAACAAATACATTTTGGATCACTAGTTATGAAAAAAATAGGCAATGTTAAGAATGATTTTTATTGGTGAATGAATAATTCATTTAATTCATTCATTAACATGGAAAAAATAATATTTTGACAGTAAACAATTGAATGTATTTGGATTATAACTTAACTAATACAATATAGAAATGAAAAGAAGTTTAATTTATTTTGTAGAAATACCTGTACTTATTAATAACCATTTGTTTTAAAATATAAATTCGTGATCGAGATAAAAATACAATGTGGTTTTGATTGTATACTTATATGCACATGCATTTAATATAAGTAATTTCTTCCACACATGCATTAGAAATAGTCTTTAAATTTATGATATATTTTTATATTTCATAAGAATTGGACATATAAATTTATTGACAAAAAAAATAAAACGGATTATAGACACAACTTAGAGTTACATAATCTTCTCTTGTTAAAACAATTTTGTAAAATTATCATAGTATAATTTGATTTATGTAGTCTACTGGAAATACATAAGTAGTATCCAAGCTGAAACTAAATTTTTAAGGTAAAAATATAACTTCATAGTTAAAGAACTAGTTTATTTAAAAAAAAAACCAAAATGTCCATATTCATTTTGAAAACGATTGTGAATACTCATTAAAAATTCGGCATTTTTTTGCATCAGAGAAGACACAATTTCCCAATAGAATCAGATGCACATATATAATGAACAAATTAATGTTTGTTTTGAAAAATTATTTCTGTAGCATAGTTTTCAAACAAAATAGTCTGATATAAGCAACATTTATTTGAAGCAAGTAAATTTGAAGGTGAATTGAACACTTTAGCATACACACATGTACTATTGATATCAGTCATCTTATTTCATTCTTTTTGCCATCAATATGAAATTTTGATTTAAATATTAGTTATAATTCTCTTTTTCAATCAAACATACAGTATAGAGATTTAAGATTTAATTGAAAGGCATTAAATTAATATTACCTTACTTTTACATGTATTTTCAAATACTTGTGATACATAGTAAAATAGTAAAGAATTTTCCAATAATCACATTATCAGAATTTTAAGTATAATGTTAACCTTTTACTGTGGTTAATTTAAAAACAGACTATAGGTCACCTGTAATTAATTTCTTTTGTTCTTCCCCTCCCCTTACCTGTACACCATTCCCACCTAGCCAAAACCAGTCACCTGTAACAATTTCAGAATTTTGGCTAAGTGGGAAGACACCGCAGAGATCATGATAGATCTCTGCATGTACAGTACTGTTGATTACCTGTATATTGTGTGCGCTCAAGCGGAAAGGGATTTCGAATGGTGACTGTATATTTCACCTCTTTGTGTAAAACAATGGGCTTCGATAGAGTCGCATTTATGTAATATATTGTTAAAATGACACTTGTAAAAAGAAAAATTTTGATCGGGCGGGGGGTGGGTGGGGTTTCCCGACCCCCCCCCCCCAACCCCCCTGAATCCGCCACTGTGCTTCTCTGAATTTTCGTGAAATTTGCATAAGGTAACTTTAGATGTACTCAAATGATCTCCCTTTGAACAACGTAAGTACAACGATCAATGGAATAAAGCTATATAGTAATGCAAGGGCTCAGTGACGAGATGACGAGAACTATTTGCTGATCAAAGACTACAAAAAGTACTGTACATAAAACCTTTCATAATAGGTAGAGAAAAGGTACCTTATTCTCCGTAAAAAAAAAAAAATACTTATCAAGTTTTCTGAGATTTACTGTTGATTAATTTTATTTTTCGCAAATTGTACATTGTCAGTAAAGGTAAACAAAATGATTTTTAAAAAATACATTGAAGGATGCATTTACTAGTTCACAACTGAAAATAAGTTGTTCTAAAATAAACATGAAGAATCTTAAATGATTTCCTTTTGAATGATGTCGTCACGTGAACAATGCCTGTGCAGTTGAGACACGGCAACTGAAGATTTTTACTTGGATTTTGTATATGCTTAATGTTAGCAAAAATCTGGATTTAAAATTTTTAACGCAGCAATAATGTAAACAAGTGAAATGGAAAGTTTTTTATGTAGATGCTCTCCAATAATCATGAATTTCATTTAATCCCATACATCAGAAAGAACTTATTCATAAAAAAGGGGTATATGGGCAATACTCGGTCTTGTAACTAACTGCATTGCAGTGTATCTAATATTTATGCAAAAATGCATTAACAGTTACAATTTATGCAAAAATGCATTAACAGTTACAATTGAAAATCATTTATCTATATGTCTAAGGAGTCGGTGAGAGTTTCACGCTATCCAATGATAGCGGTGATTGTGATGACTAGAGTTCAGCTCACAAAACAGTTACTTTTCAATGACTGCAACAATGATATGGATTAAATTCTTCACAACATAAAGAAATCTGGAACATTTTGGGCGTGTGCACATGTATAGTCTTTAACTGCATTGAGCATGTGCAATTTTTCTCTTACTCCTTTGCAATTGCTATATCTTAATTCCTACAAAAATACATTGTCAACCAATGTAAATAATACTTTTTTTTTGTACAAACTATTTTGAGCGAAGACAATTAACTCAGTTCCAATTCTCATCTATACAGGTAACACATTAGTTTCAAGAAAAAAATTATCTTCAAATTAAAATGATTTAAAACAAAAAACTTACCAATACTTAAAATGAGCACGATTTATTTGATAAAGCATATTCGCTGCACAGTTAAATCTGCAGTACTTGGCATGTATGTGCAGATACATGTAGGTGCAGGTGCCTTTATTGCCTGAAACAAGCAAAAGTGTTTGGTTTGTATATAACCTTAATATCCATTAGCCGACCACCACCCTCTAGAAATCTCGAATTTATACTTCTCTCTCAAATGCCAGTGGCGAATTTAAGGGGGGGGCGCACCCGGCGCACCCCCCCCCCCCCCAATTGTCAAAGTTAGCATAAATCATAATTTCGTCGAGAAAATGTAAAAATGTCTACTCGGTAGACCTCATTTTTACCCTACAAAATCTCTAGAATTCAGGAGCTTCCGGGGGCTTCGCCCCCTGGGCCCCCACTAGGGCTTCAAGGCGGCCCCCAGACCCCCTGCCTACTTTTGGCGCCCCTCTAACCTCAATTCCCGGATCCGCGCCTGAATGCTTCGCTAAATTTTCGTGAAATTTGCATAAGGTAACTCTAGATGTACTCAAATGATCTCTCTTTGAACAACGTGCATGTAAGTGCAAAAGCTCCGTTAAAAAAAAAATACTGATCAATTTTGTCAGACAACTACTGTTGAGGAATTTCATTTTTTGCAAATTGTAGATTGTCAGTAAAGGTAAACCAGATGATTTTAAAAAAAATACATGGAAGGATGCATTTGGTCACTAATGATATATTTTCAATAATAAATAAGATCTTAAAACTACTCAAAATAATATGAAAGTATGAAAGTTTACATTCATTGTACATGTAAATATGTACTGCATCTCTCTCTCTCTCTCTCTCTCTCTCTCTCTCTCTCTCTCTCTCTCTCTCTGATTTTGATCTTCACTGGACCATTCAAGAATAATTTACTAGCAAGACATTATTTAATATAAAGAAAATCAAATAAAGGTTCTAAAACCAGTATCGAATGTGTTAATTACCAGTCAAACTGCCATCATTATCAGTCATCCCAGTACTTACTGCACAATCAATTAAACCAGACTGGTCACATGACGCTTCGACACTGTTCGAAAATTTTGTATCATTCAGTGAATCACATAGTGACATTTCATCGTTATACATATCCTCATCTAAATAATCGAATTCCTCGTTAGAAGGACCGAAGCGTTTGTAAGCTATTTCTGAAAGCGTCGGACGAAGTGAAAATGGAGAAATCCGGCCATCCAAACTAAACATTGATTGTACTCGATCAAAGGAGTCGATAGACGAAACACTCTGACTCCGAACAGGTTTCACGGACTTTGTTTTATACTTTTTGTATAGTTTTACTCCACATACTGAAGAAAGAATCAACACAAAGATACCGCATACCCCCGCAACTGCAGAAATGGCACCAATGCTCACCAAATCCGATGGGAAGTCTAAATGGAGAAAATGTTGCATTATAAGTCGAGTGTGTATTTGCATTTTAGCCTTTTGTAAAAATTGTGCCAATACTCTATATGGCATAGGGGTTTTACATTTGTTTCGAACATTTTACAAAATTAATTTGATTTGATATATTGAATTTTTTTTCAAAGAATAAAATGATAAAAGACAACTGTAAATATGTATAGAGAGAGAGAGAGAGTTATCGAACTATCTATCAACAAATTGACTAGTCTTAAAAATGAAATATACCGTTTTTTTGCCCTTGCCCTGAAAAATAAACAACACAAAATAATTTGATTTTTATCATTTCAGCTTAATTAACAGTAACAGCTAAAGGCACAAAAGGTGAAATTTATAAATATTATGCTTAATAGGGACAATCATTTGACCATATGCATCGCTACATTTTCTGGGTATGTGTAAATATAAACGAGATGCTGCTTCAAGAATTAAAAATTTATTACTCCCAATCTACTGTTGGACTTCAAGTATATGGTCATTTTTTAATTCAAGACTTGGCATTGCTTGAATAAGAACTACATGTATGAAAGGACAGAATTAGTCACTGCAGTATTCAAACATAGTAGGGTGAGTGTGTGTGTGTGTGTAAGGCAGTGGAACATCACACAATTTGGACATTGGTCTTTAAATCACTTCATATGAAATTTATCTGGAAAATACAGGTTGCATGCAGCAACTGAAGCATAATGATTAATAAGATCACTTGATTCAGAAATACACAAGTTAAGTCAATGAGGAGTTAAGCAAACATACTATTATAGTAAGAAGTGAATGCAGCATCCGAAGCAAAGTATCAATCATTAATGATGTCGTCGATTCAAGGTTGGTCAAAGACATTTAGCATTTTCCTTCAGGAAAAAATTCTAACAGCTTTCATTTGACTATTTATTTGAAATCACAAAAATTAACCAAAATCAATAGCATCAAAACGTTTCAACACTTTATACATGTACAACCATTCCCCCACGATAAACTTTTTGACGTAATAGACAACTGCTTCTTCAATAAAAATGGAAATCGTAAACCTTAAATGTCATTGGTTATCTGCAACATTATTTTGTTAAAAACATTCCGATTCTACATAAGTACTCCCAGGTTGAAATAAGCTTGAGTTTCTCATTGTCAATATCTATGTATAGTTTTCGGAGACCATGTCTTCCAACAAATCCCATGAGTACTGATAAATTACACCCCGTTATTAGCAGAAAAGTTTTTGTATTCATATGAAACAGAATTTATTTAAAAATTTCTACATGAAAAGAAGTCTCTTGATGTGGCCTTCAATTCGACATTTAGATACATCGCCTACAATTAACAATATTCATTTTCATTCCTATGTTGATTCTAAATATCCCTTTGAACTAGAAAAAAAGAAACCACAGAGTCCGACACATCTGTTTCATATTTGAATATTTTACTAGAGAAAGACATTGGTGGCGAACAAACAACTAAAGTTTTTGATAAACGTGATGAATTCAACTTTTCTATCGTGAACTTCCCTTATTTATATAGCAATATAACATATGGAGTTTATGTCTCAAAGTTGATTCGATACGCAAGAGCATATTCTACGTAAGAACAATTTCTAAAAGGGGGAAAGCTTTTGTCAAATAAGTAAATGATGCAAAGATATCAACAATTTCGTTAAAGTCAGTATTTCGCAAATTCTGTGGTCGGTCGGTACAATGACCTTGTTTGTGAATACAAACTGCCGTTAAGTCGAATGTTGACTGACGTTTCTCATAAAAATTGTGTGGCCATTGTTTCACATTGAATTGTCTACGGATTTTTCAGCCAACCCGATCATAATATAAGCACATGGCGGTTGTGACCGGTGTCGCATAATATTTGGTCCGCCTCGTTTAAAGGTCCGGGGGGACCTAATACGATAACATATAAGGTCCGGCCTGCCTCTATAATAAAAGGTCCGCCTTCGGTTTAATATGCAGATTTTTCTCCTTTATTGATTCAGAATTAATTTGATTTATTAATCTTTTTAAATTATTTAAGGTATAGTTGATATAAAAGTGTCCCTCTTAGCAAAATGGAGTTCCAGGGACGTACATGTATGTACATATTGTATACATACTAAAAGGATCAAGTCTTGCGATATCTCGCTAGTTACTGGATTTCGTTAGCCAATTTTAATTAATTATATTAAATTATTTTCTAATACTATGATATATCTCGGTACAAAACCTCAAATTATCTATCAAAAATTATTCAAAATTTGATGTTAGCACTGATTAACTGTTAGCTCCTTATCGTAGTACATACCATGCATACCTCACAGATAGTGCACAAAACAAAAAATATAAAGATGCAAAGATCTGTTGATCGAGTTACCTTATGGGAAAATCATGTACGACATGTGTCTTTTATAGTTTAAGTGATATCAATATTATCATTGCAAAATAAAAAAAAAATACATATATATAATACGCATACCTTCACTGGCACATTGTTCAGTATATGGTGTTCGTAAGTCCAACAATGATCATTTCATTACTGTAACAGTCTCTTTCCTAACAACGTTCGACTTCCACTTCCCAAAAAGAATTTTCATATCTTTCGAAAGATATTTCATTGTATCATTAATAATAATTATGCGTAATTCTTACAATTCATATTGTACCTAACTATAAAATAATTGGAGGGTCACTGTGACAGGGACTTGTGTTACGGTGTACTAGCCTATCCCGTTGTTGTTAAAACAACATGTCTGTGCTTTGGGGGGTAGGCCTATTGTCTCACCTGACGAAACTTGAAGTCGCATATCCCCCGTGTTTTTATAACCATCGTTTCTTATCCAGTTAAAGACTAATGATTATTTCATTCTACTTGATATTACCCCGGGGTTAACACTGGTTAAGGAAGATGTGCGTTAATTGGCAAAATCAAAGTCAATCGAGTTGAACATTTTAAGCAATAACCCCCCCCCCCCCCAATGGAAAAGATTTTAAATGGTGGTGTTGTACATTTGGTGGGTGGGGTATAGCAAAATTATGCTAATACATGTCAAATAGTTTAAAAAGTACTGATGTTGTATACTTTCCTCCCGCATTAATATTTTTTCCCGGAAAAACGAGCTTGGGTTTAAAGACCCCTCCCCCTTTTGGAAAAGGAGCCTAGCATAGGATTTTATTTCCGGAATTTTTTTTTAAATATTGTTTATTTCATTCCCTACATTTTTGTAGTTTTCATTTCTGACGTTTTAAAATTTTCATCTCTGACATTTATCATCATAAAGTACTTTTCCGGCAATGAAAACAAAATTGAAATTTCCCTTATAAAAAAAATTAAAGAATAAATCAAGAATAATTCATTGATTTCCAAATAATAAGTTCTGCTTATATTTAAAAGAATCTTATGATGATTTTATCCTCGGACACATGTAAGTGTAAGTTGTGAATTTTTGTTCATCTTTTCAAATCAAGATAATCAGACTGAATTTGAGATCAGAAAGGTTAAGACAGAATTTATGACATACAGAAACTATGTTTGAGGGAATAAAGTAATCAAAGTTGAGGGGATTCTGTTTTTCGGTGCTTTCAAACACATATAATTCAGTGGGCATTAAAATTTGGTGATCAAAAATTGATTGTTTTATTATTGAAATTATTGCATTTTATTACTAAACTTTGTATTTTTACTAGACTTACTGTTGATTGTATTCTAAAATGAAAACAAAAAATGTCGGAAATGCAATGCAAAATTTCGGAAATGACATGCAGCGAGCTTGGAAGAAACAACCCCGGCTTTATTATCTACCATAGGAAATACTCAGTACGCTTCAGTACAGAATTTTCTCCTTTTCCAACTTCTTACTAGGGAGAATCTTATCCACCCATACTATTTAAAGAGGGGTTTTACAGATCGAGCAACTTGACATGTATTTCCCCTAAAATAAAATGGAAAGTGTCTGTTGAGATCGTGACTGATATAAAAATTCATAAAACACCACCAAGTCGTGTTCTTTTGTTAATATTTTTTATATTTATTTTGATTTTGGTTTAAATTAGATTTACTTTTAGCGGCTATTTCTTTTTTATTTATGTGTGTGTGATGGGGGTTATAGTTCTCTTGTTGCACGTCATCAACATTACTAATTAAATAATAATATATATCCTTGGTCCCTTCAGACAGATGTTTACGTCATCAACATTACTAATTAAATAATAATATATATCCTTGGTCCCTTCAGACAGATGTTTATGGTTGCATATAGATATACAATACAGTAGACACATCTCCTGCAAACGCACATAGAGTGGATAATTAATTGTCATTAAAGTTTTGTCTTTTTGTCAGCATATTAAATGAAAAAAGTACACTACTACATGTAGTATATATGCAATTCTTATATATGCACAATTAGGCCATTCCAAGAGTTTTCTAAGTTAATTTAGCGTCCATCCTAAAATTAAAAACCTAATTATCTTTTTACCCTGGAAAAAGACACGAACCAACAAAGAAAAAAAAACAAACAATAGGAACTTACAGCATTTCCATAATTTTTGCTTTGTAAGTGAGATATACATGTATGTGGGGAAAAAAGGGACCTTTTATTATACTGCTTTTTAAGGTCCGCCCTGCCATTTTACCGAGTTTTTTTTCCGCTACGATAACTTTTAATAAACTCTGTTCCAAATATTCGCCTTATAATAGTAAGATATCTGAAATACAGAGGGCGGACCTTTTATTATACTGCGTTTTAAGGTCCGCCCTGTCTCTTTCTCTAGTTTTTATGCTACGAAAATAAACCCTGTTCAAAATGTTTGCTTTCTAACAGTAAGACATCAGAATTATAGAGGGCGAACTTTTAAATATACTGCGTTTTAAGGTCCGCCCTGCCTCTTTCTCTAGTTTTTATGCTACGAAAATAAACCCTGTTCAAAATTTTCACCTTGTAATAGTAAGAAATCTAAAATATAGAGGGCGGACCTTTTATTATAATGCGTTTTAAGGTCCGCCCATTCTCTTTCTCTAGTTTGTATGCTGCGAAAATAAACCCTGTTCAAAATTTTCGCCTTGTAATAGTACGATATCAGAAATGCAGAGGGCGGACCTTTTATTATACTGCGTTATAAGGTCCGCCCTGCCATTTTGACTAGTTTTTATTTTACGGAAATAAACCCTGTCCAAAATGTTTGCTTTCTAACAGTAAGACATCTGAATAATAGAGGGCGGACCTTTAAATATACTGCGTTTTAAGGTCCGCCCTTCTCTTTCTCTAGTTTGTATGCTACGAAAATAAACCCTGTTCAAAATTTTCGCCTTGTAACAGTACA